TTTTTATCATTACTATCAGAACGAACTCATATATACCCATTATGAAAGATCTTACGTAAATCCCAGCATCCGGCACAGCACAGCAGCGTCGGTGTCGTCCCACTGGTCATCGCACACTGTCCCTGCCAGGCCGTTCCTCATCACCTCCACCCGTCCTTCCCATGGTCTACTGCCGTTGACCAGCCGGTAGTGGACAACTGGACAACAGAAAACAAAACAATCTCTAACGCAACCAAAAGTATAAAGGATTGACTCTTCCTTTACTTGGGTTTGTTACTGTTTTACAGAAAAGAAATTATCTTTAGCGCAACAAAAATATATAGAATATACCCATTTTTTTAAAATTGGACTACTTAACCTTTTTATTGATTTGTTGGGTTTTTTGTGGGTTTTTTTTTGGGGGGGGGATATTTTATGGAAAAGTCTTTTAAAGAATTATCCATTAGTCCAGTTGGAACAATACCTATGTTCAGTTCAGTTTAAAATATGCCTGCTGATAGAAATGCAAAGGACAACGCACAAATCCAAAAAATGAACTATGTCAGACTGGATTTGTGTTTTGTTGAATTCCCAAAAGGTACTGATTTGTTTTCTGTGCTTATTTTATAGTACTCGTTGATGCAAGTATTTTGTTGTTTCGAAGTTGTCATTTGAGTAAAACCTCTTATTGTTATTTTACTTTACTGTGGGTTTACTTACTTTTATCATTCTGTGCATGATGAAAAATGAACGCATTAATTGAGGAATTATATTTCTAGCATCCTAGAAAGTTGACCATTTTCTTTTTGTAAAGATCAATAAAATTCAACTCACATCGGCAGTCGGCCTCGTCGGAGTTGTCTTTGCAGTCGTTAGTACTGTCGCAAACCTTCTCAGCATCCACACACTGTTTGTTGGCACACTTGAACTGTTGGGCTTCACACCCTGGTTGAGAGTGAAGGTTAATGATGAGCAGAGACTTGTACTGAACTATCTAAACTTTGACACAATCCCCGTTCACCACGGAGCGACCATAGTTTGACTGGATTCGGAAGCAAATGAAAGGCAAGGAAGGAAAGGTTCAGGGTGGTTGTCGGGTGCTCTGGTGTGGTTTGCTTCTTCTTTCCTATAAAAAATCTATCTTCCTTATATCCCCTTCTTCTTTCTTTTTTTTGTTACTCTCTTGTAGCACCTCTAATCTTCGGGCGCTCATATGACCTTATGCAGTTGCGATCGCCGTAAAACCTCTACTAAAACTAAACAGGAAAGGTTGCTCGAGCATTAGACCATAGCGACACTGGTGTTTTGCTCTTCATTTTCTCACCCATGGTGCGTACTAGGGCAGCCAGGTTTTTAGAGCAAAGAGCGGCACCAATGACAGTACTCGGTCAAGAGGTTAATATAAGTCTACGGCAGTGCGTTCAGAACTCTACAGTTTCCTATAACAAGATTCGTTGCGGAAATCAAACATTGAAAGACATATGAGCAAAATGAAAAAAGAAGGTCTAGATTAAAAGGGGTAATACAAAGGTCGTTGATGAGCTGAAGTTTACAATGCTAAATAAGAACAAAGGTCTCGTGTGGACAAAGACAGAGTATACATCAAGACACAGACAAATGGAAAAGCTAACAGGAAGTTAAGGAATCAGATTAAACCAGAACACCCGCTGTCTACCTCTCGCAAAGAAAAGGTTATTTTTTAAACTGAAACTACTGAAATGATTCAACGAGCAAATTGGGCTCATTTTGTCCTAAAGCAGTCTGTGTTGTCAGTAACTGAACAAGAATAGTTTATAT